TTTCTACAGAGAAGGGTGATCTTATTTTTTTAATGCAGCAGTTGGACTGCATGGCACTGCCACATTCAGAGTTTTTATGGTTATAGAAACAGACATAGACAAAATCCTTTAAAATAAATATGTGTTTATAAATAACTTCATATCTGCAAGGACTATTCTACTATAATACGATACTCAATAAATGCCGAAGTGCAATAAATTCAAAGATTGAGGAAAAGATTGTGTATGAAATGGAATTACCTGGGTCAGTTGTCAGTAGGCATTCTAGTCGTTAATTATAAAGAACTAATGAAGGAAATACGAGTGAATGGAAGTAGTTTTGTATTTTGTATTTTACAAAATGCGAGGTTTAGGCAGCTGGTGTTAATTGTCATAACTCATTGGCTCCAGTGGAGCTGACGGTTTATGCCAGTTTGGGATCTTCCCCTGTGCACGGTAATTTTAGTACCTACTTTAGTATCTGTAATTTAGTACAACAACTGGTAGTGTCATTCCAGACGAGTTAGAGTAAGGACATAAATGATGAACATCGCTCTCTTTCCCCTCCTCTTTCCAGTTCTATTTAATATTTCGTTAAATATTTTAACATTGTGGACTCTGTTTTCCTCTCCTAAGTGCTTTGGCTGCAAGCAGTGACTTTCCAACTCCCACAATATGGTTTTCTTATATAATGGACTCTCCCCTGCAAGTAGATCGCAAAGAGGAGACAGATGGTAAACGTAACTTAGGCTGTGCCGTGAAGGGCTTATTTATAACTCACAGTAGCCGTAGGACAGCAGGGGGGCCTCCCGAAAGGAGAAATCACAGGGGAACTGGACTTTTTTTAAAGTCCTGGCTTCATGCTCCTATTGTAAAGAGTAGTATTTGGTTCAGGAAAATGCTGGTATTTTTCTCTGTCTCGTGTGAGGATGTTAATCACGGCGCTGAAAATCAAGAACCTCTATGTTTTCTAATGAAGGGGAATTGTGTTATTTATGGGAGGTTTTTTTATCTGGTTAAAGCTGCACAACATTTTTTGATCCATTGAGGACTCTGACCTCCTTTCAGAAATGGAAATTAATTAAATTTAAGGAGATGGATTTTGGGACTTGTGAGCCATCAAACCTTCTGTGTCTCTTTAATGGTTTTTTTTGTTCACTTCTTTGATTATTTTGCCTAAAGTAAGGTTTTATGGAGTCTGCCTGAAAACTTGAAGAAGTGCTATGATCGTAACAAATCAAGACATCTGGGAGGTGATAGCTTACCCATTTACGGCAAACAAGATGCTTGAAAACAGTAGGGTTTTTTTTACAGAGTACTTCTCATCTATTGCCTAGTTTCCTATGTATTGCTGGTTTGTTTTGTATTAAATTTTGCCTTGAAACTTCTTAGAAGTCACCCTCTGCATTACAGCCAGTCAAGCCTTTCCAGTAATGGCATTTTCTCTTCCATTCAATTCCAGAGGTAGGACCCTTGATCAAAGGAGGGAGGTTAAATATCTCTTGTAGGAAAAATCTCAGTGTAGACCTCCTTTGAAAGTGGAACTGCAGTCTAGTACTCTCAGTATAAACTTTATAACACCAGACTAATATTTCCTGAGATATCCCGTTTAATCACAGGAAAGGTAAAATACGGAGGAAAAAAAAAATTATAGTGTGTGTGAGGTGAATGCTGGAGTGACGAGACTGGGTGGGCAAAGAAAAGCCTAGTAACAAGCTCAGTTAATTGTTTCATCATGGTTATGTTTGACATTGTAATCTGTGATTTTTCTGAGTGGGAAGCTTCAGTGAGGAGCTCTTACAGCTTCTCCTGAGATATGTTGATCTCAGGAAAGAAAAGAAAAGATGAGACTGAATCTTAAGATTGGGCAGCTTCGTAATAGGAGGACAAATCTCTTCTGAAGTAAGTACATATCCAAGTAGACGCTTGTTGCATCATAGAATAAGTGTTACTTGTATTAGATGAACTCTGTGGGAAAGTTCTTATTACAAAACAAGGACGTATATACAACTTACAAATATAACTAGTTCCTCTCAAAAGGGACTTGGTGGGAAGATATCTTATTTAAAAGTGGCTATTATTAGAAAATAAAATATGTCCACATTTCTTGGGTTGGAACACACTTTGTGTAAAGCTATTGGCAGATGATGAAGCACTGTTCTTCCATGAGTTGTAGGTGTCAGGACTTTTTGACTCGGCCAGTTTGGTTTTCTCAGCAACAATACCTTGACTCTCCCATTGATAAGGCAGATCAAAGGAGCTTCACTCTGCTGCTGCTGTTCCTGAAGCAGTGGTCACAGCCTCACAGGCCCAAGCCAAAACTGCAGGAGTACTGCTTTTTTCCTTAAAGGTACTAAATTGTCTTTATTGGAAATGACTCATCTGCCTTGAGGGGGTCCCTGAGGCAGGGTCCTGCTGCTGTTCCTGCTCAAGGTTTAACTACCACCGAGAGGGACGAAAGTGCAAACGTGGGTGGTATCATGTTCAGCAATGCCCTACTGCTTTATATCTGTATCTTTTAGCATCAAAGGTGCAGGTAGCATGACTTGCAGATGCAAAATGTCTCAGAGCCAGCTGGCTAACCTTCAAGCCTATTAAGAGTTAGTGGTGCCAAAGAACTGGAAAGGACCCTAAAGTAATAGCAGATATGGCAGTAATCCAAATGGCAGAAACGTACCTGCCGTCTTGAGAGCCCACAACCTGTTGGCCTGGTGCATTTTTGGAAGTTCAGACAGCAGGAAGTTGCAAAGAAAATATCAGATTTGGTATCTGAGGGTAGGTGTCACTGCTGTCAGCAATCTTAGTGACACTGTCAAGGGGTTCAGGTCATTGGAGTTATCAGAAAGGTTCAAGGCAAAGGTTTAGCTCAAAAGCTAAATTGTGTTCTCAGACTTGTAAACATAATCTTCTTCCTACCATTAATTGCACATAATAAGCAAATCAGACTTTGGAATAGTCAGTTTTCAAATGACTTTAAGATGAAGCCATATAGGTAGGGTATGTTGCCATAGTGAAGGTTAGCAGTAACCTTCACTTGAGGTGTTTAGGTGAAATAGAATTCCTTGTGAAAGAAGGAAGGTCTTGATGTCCCAGGCTACTTCAGGGCATGACGTTCCTCTGTTTTCTGATGGGTTCACGCAGTAAACCTTTTATTCAGCTTCTGTATTTTAAGTACAAGGCTAAAGGCTATCAGCCACAAGTAGGGAAGAACAAATTAAAAAAGCAGAGAAGCAAAAGAAGAGAACAGATGAGAACTTCTCTAAGACCTGCTTAGAAAAATTAGGAGGTCAAAGGATTTAAACAAGTTTTAAGGTTACACTGATCACAATGAGGATTTTATTTATATGCACGAAGTAAGCTAACGCTTACAAAGATGTGCAAGCCCAACTACACAATATACAAACAAATATTAAAGTGTATGGGGACCTTGAGACCACAAGAAGGGTAGTGAAGTTATCATCTGCCTTTCTAGACACAACAGAACTTTAACATGCTATTGCTGATCTGGAACAGTCTAAATAGAAACTAGCACTTAGTGCTTTTATGATCATGTGTTCAGAAGTGACAAACTGAAATGCCTTGGATTCCTATCAGTCTACAGATGAAGTATTTGTCAACTCCGATTGCGGGGAGGGGGGGTGCCTTTCCTTAGTCATTTGTTGAAAAGGAACACCCAAGTGTTCTCCGAACACCTCTGCTGAAGCTGAATTTGAAGTTTGAAATTTGTAAATCAGGGCAGGGATTGTTTCATATGTTGTGATGGCTTTCATTTTGAAAAACATCCCACGATATCAAAGAATCTCATCCCATCTGTACGGCTACAGCAGCACCAATGAGCATTGATGATGTTGGTGTATTTTTGAAGAGCTTATATGACAACTCTTAATGTTCATTTTCACACCACATAAAAATTCCCATGTTTATAATATGTTGTTTATAATTAAGAATTAGAGAACTTAAAGGCTAAGAACTACTAAGAACTTAACTTTCCATATCATGAAATGCCCTGACTTCAGTTTCTCTAAACCACAAGTGAGAAGTCCCTTCCAGTAGAAGGCTACTTCTCTGGCCTTTTTTTTTTAAAAAAAAAGGTGGGGGCAGGGGAAAGAAAGAGGCTTGCCCTGAACTTGAAGTGTCTTTCTGTTAGGTTCCTAATAAATACAGTGTAATTTAAAATTTGTAACACTTTTCTCTTAAAAAAATGCAGTGCAATTTCCAGCCCACAATTAAATGATACACTTTTTCTAAGGTATGTATGTGGCTTACCTAACTCATTTCATAGTTTTCAGCACTAGTTTTCCCTAGAATAGCCCTAGGAGAAAGGAAAGTGTTATTTTGTAGTCCCATTTTGGGTGAAGAGCTGAGAGAGTTGCCAGCCCGGCTGAGACTCGAGCGAGAGCGCTCACCCCGGGCAGGAGATCCAGCTGCATCTCTGAAATGCAGGTAGGTCCGCGCAGCCGCTGGCCCATCTTTCCTCCTGTCAGCCAGCTAAAGGCGAAGCAGCGTCTCCAGGAGACTGGGGGGTTTTGGCCTGAGCCCTCTGCAAACTTCATGCAACCTGAGCTCACTGGCTCATACATCGGCCTGAGCGGAGCAGCGGAGGTGCAGAGCACATTCCTTTCTGCTAGCATGAGTATTGAGAAAAACAGTTTCGTAACACACCAGGCAGGGCAGCCAGAGCTTGGCTCCAAGTTATTTTTTTCTTTTTTTTTTTTTTTCCAAATGGAAATTAAAACCCATTATCTAGGGCTATATAGAAGGGTTATGAGCATGAATAGTGAATCATAAGCTTGTTCTTTTAATTACTGTTGCATACTTAGAACCTATTCATGTCTTCAAAAGCCTCAAAGGACCAAATGAAATTGTGATACATCGATTTCAGCCTATGCAAAGGTATTTACAGGAAGATGGTTAAAGCATCGTTTCAAAGGAAAAGAATATAACTAACTACAACTGTTTCTTTCAGGTAGAAACTGAAAGCAATCTTAAACATACCAGGTGCAGAGCACAATACAGTAGCCATGAATGACATTGCACAGAAAACTGAGGTATGTACCAATTTTAAAGTAATCAATGTAGTAATTTACAACTGATGCTTGCAAAAAGAGTAATTATAAACAACTGTAAAAGACAACTATACTGGAAGTCTGTGTATTGCTGTTATTTTAAGACAAAGGAAGGACACCTGAAAGTAGCTTAAGGAAACTATCAGATTTGATGGAATCTGTGAAATGTGTTCTTACTGTTATTAAAAAAACCATGAAGGAGGAAGGAAAAATAGAGGTTAAAAAAAAATATGAATAAACTTTAAATGTTGGGGGGGGAATTCAGGGCAACATTCATATCTAATTCTAAAATGTAAACATTAGGCTACTTCAAATACTTCTTCTTCTATGTAGACTCACTGAACAACAGGAACAAAAATTATTGGTTTAGGTGGAAAATATGAAAGATGGAAAGTTTTCAGCCAGTTTTCTCAGCATTACTGTATTGCTGTAGTCAGTACAGTAAAAAGAGAGAAAACTTCACAGTAATTCTGAAAAAGCAGGAACTTTTCTTAGTGTTTGGACACGGAGTAAGCAGTGGCAAAGAAGTGTCCAGTAGTTGTAGCAGTATCGGAGTCCTGCATGTCCGGTGATCTTGATGCTTTAGAACATAAAAATCACTGGACTTCTGAATTTCTCTAAATATTAAAAAAATAAGTATATAATGTATTGGAAGTTTTAAATGAACACAGATACTATTTATTTAAAACCCATATATGACTGTTGAAGTGTTGCAGAAGAAATCATACATATTGTATTATATGTCTGTGTCTTTATATCTGTTTTAAATGCCGGGGTAGAGAGGCTCTTTGGTGACTGCTTGTGATTCAAAGCAACAATACAAATCTGTATCTAATTTTTAAAGCCATAGTAATTGAAAATGTGCATTCACATAGTTCATACACTTAGTTTTGTAGCTATGCGTTACAATTACTTACAGCCTGTGTTGAATACAATGGTAAATGTTGGTTTGGATATTCTAGTATTTATTACTGTTTATGAACAAATAGATGATGGCTAGTGGCACAAAGTTCATAATCCCAAATGCACTTCTGTTTTATGTTCTTACATTCTTTCTAATCCAATCTACCAGAATATTTCTGTCCATCTGTTTCAACTTTCTTTTTCTTATCTTCATTTCTTCTATATCTTCACCAAGATTCTGCTTTCTTCATCTAAACCCGTCCAAAAATCCTATGTGCCCAAGCTTCACAAGGGGGATGTAAAGGATAAATTTGAAGCTATGCAGAAAGCAAGGGAAGAAAGAAATCAAAGGAGATCTAGAGATGAAAAGCAAAGAAGAAAAGAACAATATGTTAGAGAGAGAGAATGGAACAGGAGAAAGCAGGAGGTTATTTTCTTTGCAACTATTTTGTTTTATTTTAATATTCAATATTATATGTGAAAATATTTTCACATTATTTTAAGACAATAATATTGGAATTTTATTTAAGGTATAGAGACAGTTTACTTTCTGTGTTTCATCAACTAGATGAAAGAACTGCTTGGATCAGATGAAGACGATGATGCAAAATCATCTAAAATAGAAAAAGGTTATGTTCCAAAGCTAATAGGTAAGACAGGCCTGATTTTTAAGGCCACATAATTCACTACATAAGTATTAGATGCAACTGCTGCACTGTGTGTTTCGTACTCACAGGAACCGTTAAAGGCAAGTTTGCAGAAATGGAGAAACAAAGGCAAGAAGAAGAAAGAAAAAGAATGGAGGAAGAACGAAAGCGCAGAATTGAACAAGATATGATTGAGAAAAGGAAAATTCAAAGAGAATTAGCCAAGAAAGCACAGGAGGTAAGGTCATCTGATCACAATAGTCAGGACAGAATTGTGAACAATCAGCACATGAAAAAAAAGATCAGATTTGATCTTAAGATTTCTGATAGTGGTGATTCTCATGGGAGATGCTCAATGGGATGGAAGTCAGGAATAATGGTCAGAGAATCTTTATTTCGCTTCTTTACGGTAACAATTTTTTTTATGCACTAAACCTGAGTTACAGATGAAACCAGGCAGACATAAACCTGGTAGGAATGTGAGTCAGGCACAAGAGTTTATAGAATTTACTAAACTAATTTAAAAATGTTTCTTAGATTTTACCAACCCTTACTTTAGAAAAATTTTGCTTATACATTAGTGAACACAGTTCAGTGATAGGTGAACTAAGGCAAGCAAGAAGAAACAGGACAATGCCACTGGCAGGCAAAAATGAGAAGATACTAATGCAGTAAAAATCATAAATCAGGAAGATTCAGATCACATTTTATTCCTTTGCCACTTTGTGAATCTTTATTGCATATATACGTGAACAGACTCCAACTTGTATCGATGCCAATAAAGCAAATGTTGTCTTTTGGAGAATTTTGCATTGGGGTAGCATTATTTAATTCTTTTAGTAAGTTTTCTTCAGTGCTGCAAATACTGCAGTGATGGTGAACATCTGAATGATAGACTAGAATCATAAGCGAATTTTTGTTTAAACAAAAGATAGCAGTACTTAATAATACTACCTATTCCTTAATTTAGGAGGTTTTTTGTTGTAAGAAAAGACAAACAGTGCTATAGGAGGAGTCAGTTTTCAACAAGGACTTAGATAGTATTTTGTACTAAGACTTTTAACATTGTTAAAACTGGACTTTTAACTGGAAATGTATCTAGCATATATTTAATGTACTCTGAAAGGCAGAGGTACATACCATGCAGAATTTTAGAAAGTATGTTAGTTTTAGACAGTAACATATAAAGACACCATATGAGGCAAATCCAGCAATAGGCTTTTTGCAGGAGTTGAGGGGAAGACAATGTCACTTGAAGTAGAAATAGCGGATGAGTCTGCTTTAGCTTTTTTCCTTTTTACATAATTCTGGAATGCTTAAATGAAGAGTGGACATCTAAAGTATTGTTCTCAGTTCATCACTGAAGTGTTAGAAATGCTTTAGCATACTTTCTGTATGATGCTTTATGTCATATTCCCTCTTCCTCAAGAAGCTAACCTATCTGAAGTATTCAAAGGTTCAGTCATTTCCATCTCTGTGAATTTAAGTGCTACATACATATCACTGGTACAAAAAAAAATTTCCAGTTCTATGTTTGCAAATCTAAGGCAAAGAGCCAAAGTAATGTAATCATATGAAATTCTCATTTAATAGATTGATGACTTTAACAATACGGGAACTGAATCAGCAGCAGAGGTAATCAGATTTTTTTAAAGAAATGTTCACCTACATTTTTATTCACTTTGTTTTATTATTGTAATTTGGGCTGGGAAAACTTAGAAAAGGGCACACAAATACTGAATTAAAATTCAATCAAGCAGCTCACAAATTTTTAAAGTATACAGAACTATATATCTGTACTTCAAGTGAAATTATTTAAGTTTGAAATAGAGTCTGCACTGTGAATACTTTGTGGTCAGTTAAAAACATCTAAAATGTAAATATTCAAAGCCACCAGAATGATTTGAGATATACTGGCAATGATACGCTAAGTCTTCTCGCTTTGGAAAGTATCATCTTAAAAGCTCTTTGCCTTAAACTTGAAATTAAAAGGGGATTCTGTCAATATACAGATATTTGAACACCTTACACAGTTAACTTTTTTTTTGACTGATTTATCATATGGGTTTGGATTTTAAGTCTTGCAAATAAATGTTTAATTTCAAAAAGCTAGGTCCAAAGGTCCTACTGTTTTCCGCTAACACAAGAAAATCACATTCCTACTACAGTTTTGGAAATACAACCCACCAACCAACCCATTAGTTTTAAGTTATTTGACAGTATCCCTGTTAATCATAGTATTTTGTGAGAAAACCTGGGTAAAATGTATTTTGGCAAGTAAATTGTGAAAATAGTTTTGAAGCAGCAACATCCTTCAAAAAACCCAAACAACTCTGCCTGACAAATTAGATATTGCTCAGTAGACCTCCTAGCTTATTCCAACCGCAATATATCCTTTACTTAGTAAATGTAAGACTGAAACTAAAGTGTGGCTACAATTACTGTGTTCAAAATTTCACCTGTTCTTCTCCAAACCATGAATATTTATAACTAACAGTTAACAAAAATATGTAAAGAAATTAAGGAGTTTGCCAGTAGTTACATTTAAAATATAATTCGGCCTTGTAGTATCTTCAGATATTACAAGAAAACCAGGCAGATGGGTTTATTTTTGTTGTTAATACTCAATACAAGTAATTCTTTTGGAAGCTTTAGTGCACAAAGGTAAAATCAGCAGTTTCATTAAGAAATGAGTCTATCTAGAAGTTAAACTTTATGAAAATATAATAAATATCTTTTTGGACAGGAAGGGGATGATTCACTGCTAGTTACAGTAGTGCCTGTAAAACCCACCAAAACACCTGGGAAGATGAAAATAAACTTTGAGAACACAGGAAAGGAGAGAGCAGAACAGAGGGAGAGACAGGATGAAGAAATGAAGCTAAAATATGAGAAACAAAACCAATTCCTTAAGGAAACCAAGTGCCTTTCATTTGTCACGGTAAACCACTCATCTAAAAATACCTAATTAAAAAATATCTATTATTTAGATGTAACTATTTCATTCTTCTTGCACAGGGTGAAAATGAAGACAATGAAACACAAGAGCCTCTGTCTACTGGTAAGCTGAAAGTAACATTTGAAGAACTTGAAAGACAAAGACAGGAAAATCAAAGGCGGCAAGCAGAGGAAGAAGCAAGACAGCGCTTAGAAGAGGAAAAACGTGCCTTTGAAGAAGCTAGACAGAGAATGGTAAATACACATTTTATTCATGTGGTTACAGAATTTTCACATAGGATATGCTTTTACGTTATTTCCTGTATCTGATCCTTCTTTTTTCTTATTCCTTAACTGTATTTCAAACTGTTACAAGTCTGAAAATTGTATCACCATTAATTTTTGAAAGATGTATTTTTGACCATAGGTCTAACTCAGTAACCACACTGGCATAATGCTCTGGACGTTCTTTTAGTAAAACCAGGAAACATATGTGTTTTAACTTTGCCAGCAATCTTAGCAGGTTTTATATCTATGCTTTTTAGTACCTTAAGCTGTAAGAAGATAATTAGTTGTCTGTTTTGTTCTTAAACAGTGCTTCAGGTGTTTCAGTAACCAGTTTTTGTTGAAAACATTCTGTAGTAACAGAATGCTACTTCTTATTCCCATATTTATTTATAAATACGATAGATAAATACATCAATTACAACTTTCCTCTTATGAAAAAAAGGGAAAAAAAAAGACAGGTCGGCTCTTGTATGTATTGACATAAACAACAATATACTAGAAATTACTAGATTAAGCCCCAAATTGTCAGAAGTGTAGCTCACAATTCCTGTTTTATGTTCGTGTTTTTATATTATTGCAAAACTGCCTCCATATGTGTTCTTTATCGTAAGTCAGACATTCTAGATCAACAGACCTCACTGCAGTTTGTTCTTTGATTGTACTAAAGGAACCATACACTTAGTATTAACCAGATAGTTTAGTTCTGTATTTCCTCACTTTACTATACTCCATTTCCAAAAGCTTTTTTTAAGTTCTGTATTTAAATATCATTCCCCTGTACAATCATGATCATTACGGCTTTGTTAACTCACATACAAAGAAGATTCATGAGAAATGGTATTTTAATCTTCCATGAAATCTTTGAAAAATATTGTTTCTAGGAATTTGCTAACTTTAAGTTAAAAAGAATATAATTATGAATGGACATTTTTGGACAAACAACTCAAGATCACCATGTTGACTATATTTCAAAAACATTCAAGAAATTGATAGTCTCAGAAAACAAACAAAAAAAAAGCCCCCACAAACAGAACCTCCAGAAGGCTGAAACACTGAAATTCCCAACTGCTCCAAATTGAGAGGGTTCTAGCTTAGGCAGATATCCAATTGTAGTTTAATCCTCCACCCCCACCTCCAATAAATCACTTAACCTTTCTGCACCTTGACATTATGTCAATAATGCATTTTTATTTTTATTTGGGGGTGGGCAGGTGATACTAGTGAAGGAGAAGAGGGAAGAAAATGAAGGAGAGAGAACTTCATGAAGTCAGTAGGCATTCTAACTCAAGTTTTGTTCATCTCTCCCACCCTTATGTATATACATTTTTAACCAAGTAATAGAAAGTAATTTACAAATTCTCTATTTCAAAAGAAATTTTCTAACATGCAGTTTTATCTGATATCAGCAGTTGTCAAAATTTGAAGTAAAATGTTTCCTTAAAGGAA